CACCTGCCCATTGGGGTAGAAGATGACCTCCTCCCCGACCTCAAAAGGCATCTGCGGGGCAGGCGCGGGCAGAGCGTGACAGCGTGATCGATGACATATTGCGGCGGCCCCCCATGATCGCGGGCCCCCCAACACAGCAGGCCCCCACCACAGCGGCCCGAAAAACACAGCGGCGGCCCCAAAGCCCGGGCAGCACCGGCACTGATCCCTGGCCTCGTAATCCCGCTTGCCCGTGCCCCATTGTCAGGCACCGCCCAGCCGCGCCTGCTCTGGAACACACCTCCCCTCCCGCCCCAAAAAATGGGGCGAGCGGGCGATCCCTCACCGTAGTCATAAGCAGGAAGCCGTTGAGCAGGTTCTCACAGATCTCCCTGCCAGCCAGGCCGATGGCCAGGCCACCAATGCCTCCGATTGCCAGCACGCTGCGCACCTCCAGCCCCAGGGCCTGGTGGGGGTTTGGGGGGGAGGGGAGGGCACAGGAGCGGTTGGGGGTGGCTGCAGAGGGTGGGGAAAGGGGCGGTTGGAGGCGGGAAACGAGGTGGTTGACAGCAGGGAAGGGGGTGGATGGGACACGAGAAGATGGGTGGTTGGGAGCGAGGAACGGGGTGGTCACGAGCAGGGACAAGGGCGGTTGCGGGCGGGGAGAGGGGTGGTTGGAAGCCGTCGTCTGCCCCGGCTCCCCCAACACCCCGGCTCAGACGGCCGGTCGGCGAGCCAGCAACCAAGGACGCAGTACACAGTATCAGTCGCAAGCAAGAAGGACGTTCAGCGTTGAAATGAGTCGACCAACCGCCACCGGCCCAGAGCCCCTCGGAGCTGCTGACCGACCCGCAAACCCGCTCGCCCAGGTGACCCTGAACCCTAAGATTCAAAAATAAAAACCTAAACCCTGAACCTGTATGCTGAGGAATATGGTGAACACGTAGATGGCGAACGTCCCCAGCTTGTCGTAGGCCTCCCACCGCCGCTGGCTGGTGATGTTGCCCTGCATCTCGCACTGCCACGCCTGCTCCTTGCAGAAGCGGCTCTTCAGGTTGAACACCACCTGCAGGGTAGGGGTGTGTGTGCGTGTGCGTGTGTGTGTGTGTGTGTGTGTGTGCGTCTCTATCTACCTCTCTACCTCTCTATCTATCTATCTATCTATCTATCTATCTATCTATCTATCTATCTATCTATCTATCTATCTATCTATCTATCTATCTATCTATCTATCTATCTATCTATCTATCTATCTATCTATCTATCTATCTATCTATCTATCTATCTATCTATCTATCTATCTATCTATCTAAAGATAGAGAGAGAGAAAGAGAGAGAGAGAGTGTGTGTGTGTGTGTGTGTGCGTGCGTGTGTGCGTGCGTGCATGCGTGCGCGTGCGTGCGCGTGTGTGTGTGTGTGTGAGTGTGTGTGTGTGTGTGTGTGTGTTTGAGGAGAGAGACAGTGTGTGTGTGCGTGTGTGTGTATGCGCGCGTGTGTGTGTATGCGCGCGTGTGTGTGTATGCGTGCGTGCGTGTGTCCGTGCGTGCGTGCGGGCGGGCGTGCGTGCGTGCGTGTGTGCGTGTGTGGTGTGCCAGCCTTTCAGACCCCCTTGCCCCCCCAGGAAAACCCTGTCCCAGTCACTCACGTTGGCCGCCCCCAGCACGAAGCTCATGCTCAGCGCCGCCCGCACCACCGCGTTCACGGTGGATTTGGGCACGCCGATCAGCTGCGGCAGGAAGGAGTCGGCGATGGTGCAGCAGCCCGCCACAAACAGCAGCATCTCCAGGGGAGAGTAGACCTGCGGTCACACGGGGCGAATCGAAAGGTTCAGTTGCCGCGTGCGCATGTGCGGGCCGCGTCTCGCGGCAAGGGCGGCACGTCGGGTGGCCGGGCCAGTGCAGATTGCTTTTGCCTGCCTCCGAGGGCGGCTGCGGGGGCGGCCCTTGAGCAGAGTCGTGAGCTGCATGCGAAGCAGCGCAGCTGCCGCGGCATGAGCTGCCGCCGTGGCCACGCTCCTGGCACTCGGCCTACCAACGACACGGCAAAGCAGTCCGGCGCCGCTGCCGGCCGCGCGGTGACCTCTGACCCAGCGCTGCGCGACGCGGCGGCCTGCCCTCGCCCCGCAGTCCGCCCTCCGCTCGCGGCGG